CCCCCCACGTGTCTCCACGCAGCGTTGGTAACCGGTTTCTTGTTTTGGGATTACTATCATGCATACCGCTAGCCGGACTGCCACTCACGCCAAACCAACGTGCGAGCCTCACATGGCTCTGCCCATATAATCATGTGTTGTATCTGTACAGAGGAATTGCAATACTTTTTTTTGACAGTGTAAATCAATTGAGATCTATTTTTTAATGTCTATCCTTCGAAGGGCAGGACTGTAACCTAAGTAAAATTTTGAGCCAAAATATTTGTGTAATACTAATGTTCATTATTTTACCTTCTAACTACATAAGAGGATAACACTTGTCAGTATTGAGAGATTTGTGATTCAGAGAAATTCATTATGTTAAATATGGTTTGCTAAGTTTTCATGTGTAAAGGTACTACTAATAGCTACAAATAACTGATATTTTAACCATATTGTGTATTTCTTGAGGCATTAACTAACTTCGTTCTGTCTTCTCTGTCAGTTTAAACCATTACTTATTGACTGTTTAAATGTACGATGCATATTACTGGTTTTCTATGACAGTGTTCTTTTGAACCCTAATAAAGATAATTTAACATGAAACAATTTCATCTTATCTAGGGAACTGAAAACCATGTGGCACGCTCACCACTGGCTGGGAGAGGGGTTCGCATTTGTAGGCAGGCAAATTCTGGTGTGTAGTGTGCACAGTAATGCTTTTACTGCCTGGAGTGCTTTAAGAAAGGAAATTAAGAATTATAAAAGTAGAAAACCATTGTGGAAATATGTAGTTTTTTATTATACTATTTTGCTGTTAAATATGCTTTGTTCAGATATTTTAAATGATGTTTCAAAATGTGCAGGAGTCAATAGAATGCTGATTAGCATTCCCCCCCCCCAAAAAACAAAAACAAACATTGGTTTTCTCTCACATCTGCATCTCCTACTGTTTTCCTGTAGTCTAAAACCTCCATATCTTATAGTTCTTCTACCTTTGGTGGAATAACAATGCCAACAATGGCTGTATTGAATTTCTTTAATTTTGCGGCTGTTTTGAACATAGTTAAATTACAAAATGTAAATGTTAGAACAAAGAATGCCAGATTTTCTTGTTAAAATATGTCGTTTTTGTCTGGTTAATAGTATGGAACTGGTACAATTTAATGTTCATATAATTTTTTAGCAAACTGAAAAAACACTAATGAATATCAGAACCACAGACCTCAATTAAGAGATGATGCTGAATTAAACGCACATACTCTAGTAAACAGAAATTTAAAATTGATATATGTGTCCAAAAGTATTATTACCAAAGGAATCTAGAGCAGAAATCTTATGGTTTAGGCTGTGATGCACTTACAGGAGCTGTACATTGGAGTCTGTACCAAACATTCACCGAAAAATGATGCATATTCACGTCTTTTACCAATTAAGTCTTATATCTGATAAGCACTTTTGCTATTGTAGAGGACCCAGGTAGATTTAGATAGTAACAATGTAATGGCACTCATCACATGATTATGCATTGATGTTTTGACAGAAAACTTTGCTAAGCCACACATCTTCATCATTCAATGGTCTGCAAATGAATAGAACAAAAAGGGGCGTTTCTAACAGGATCTCTCTCCTGACTGTTCGTGTGTCAGTGCATCGCATACATTCATGCAACATTTATGAATAAAAAATTGTAGAAATAGATAGTTATTACCATTATTTTAGAGAAGAAAGAAATCTCTTTTTGTTTTGCATAGCAGCTTCTTTTTAAATGCACACATTCAGAAATTACAAATATACTATGAATTTAGTCGAAAATTAAGCTATATTACCAGGACAATAATTCATTTTTACCATATAATCCAGACTATAGCAAAAAAACACAATAAAATATGTTGGTAGATAAATACTAACAAAGAAAATGAGAAATTTGCTCATAAATTATGTACGAAAAAATTAATGTATTCTGTGGTGGGCTCGTGCATCACTGACTGTTAATGGCTTAACCTGTCCTGCACAGGAAATGACAAACATGAGAACATGTTTGTTAAGCATATTGAAGTTTTCTTAGAATAATTTGCTGTTTTCTGGAAATGTCAAAACCTAGTGGAATTTAATATTAATAAAATGAATAAAGTTCATTTAAATTAAGAAAGTTCAGATCATTATAATCTTAATTACACTAAATTATTGTATAAAAATATTGTAAAATTAATATATGTAATTTTTTTGTAAAATACTCAAGTATAATCATTTAAATAATTTCCAATTGGTATNNNCACACACACAAAGGTGTCTCCCAGAGTGGACTGCCCCCCCTTTCTTATACATAACTCTATTGGTAAAAACATGCTCATAGTCTGTTTCACTCCTTACAAATTCAATGCAAAAAAATGTGGATATCTTAAAACAAGTTACTGCTTATCTTAAGAAGCATAACTGAAGTTTTCCTTTTTAAGATAGGCAATTTTATACTCTCAAATGTATTTCCACCTTAAAGTACAAAATCCATGAAAGTGAATACATAAGTTCTGAAACAAACAATATAATTTTGAGAATTGAATCTTGTCTCAATGCTTCTTAGAGAATTGGCATGGAACGCTAAATGTTGCAATTTATCTGAATTTCTTGGCCTCTCTGAATAAGTTATCCCAGTTTAATCATTCAACAATTTTTACTTTTAAAAGCTTCTTAACAAGATTATGCTATAAAATTTGTTTCTTGTAGGGCTATTTCTTAAGCATGTTAACCCTTAGGCTATATATACGAGGTGAGTAATTTCGTGCTGTAATAAAACACCATCTACCCTCCTATCAGATGAACAAATGTTACTGCATATTGTCCGAATAATTTTTTTTGTCTACTTGACAGCTAGGGACGGTTTAGAGAGACGTTGCCACTTACTCGGGTTGCAGACACGTGGACGTACTTGCATCAGATCACAACA